TTTTCGTCTTTTTGTTTTTTAATTTAGTTTTTTTTAATTTTTATAATTTATATGTGAGCAGCAGTTAAAGGGTCAAATAGTGGCACTAGAATTATTGCCCCCCAAAAGCCTCAAGGATGCCACACCAACTCTTGGAGTCTTGCAACCACTTTCAACTCCCTTTTGCTATTAATTTTGGTGACTAAATCTGTACCTCTTAATAACATACTTATGTGGACACTTCTTGATTTTTTTATTTTTTAGTTTTAGGTATTATCTATTGACTTTTCTCTTTGGAAGATTAGAATTTAGTTTTATTTCACTTCTATCCTCCGTACCTATAGTCACAATTCCTCTCCACTCATCCTTCCATCATTATTATGTTATTCCTTTGGTTAGATCAACATACAGTGTTGCGTTATTATAGCTATTATACAAGGCTATTTGAACTGAACCATTTGTTACACAATATTTGCTTTTCTTGTGTTGCCCAACTTTTTGTGTCCCCTAAAGTTAATAAAATTTGTTTCATTCTCTTTGTTTATTCTGTATTCATCATAGTTTATCCCATACTCTCCTCACACTGTGGAATATTATTTCAATCCATTAAAACACAGGTATTCATTAGTTTTATCTTCTCTGAGTCATCAGACCTGCACAATTGACAGCTTGTTATCTTCAACCATCATGGTCCTTGGAGATTCCCTTTGCCTCGCTCTTTTCTGGATATTCTGTTTTCTTCTTTTCTGGTTTATACACTTGCTTTAGTAGAATACCTCCTCAAGTAGTTTTGTGAGAAAGGGTGCATAGTAGTAAATTTTTGAGACCTTGCCTGTCTCAAAAGGTCTTTAGCCAACATGTACATTCAATTAATAATTTGGCTGAGTATAGAATTCTAAGTTAGAAATGATTTTCCCTCAGAATTTTGGAAATGGTAATCTCTATTGTTTTCTAGGATCCTTACCTTTTATATGTGGTCTTGTTTTGTTTTGTTTTTAATTTTTGGAAGCTTTTAGGGTTTTTTCATTGCCCCTAATGTTCTAAATTTTTGGCAATGTGCCTTGTTTTTATTTGTTGTCTGGGCAATCAACACTACATCTTTTCAATCTAGAAACTTTGTTTCCTAAATTGTTTGTTGATAATTTTCTCCTATTTCCATATCTTCTATCTCTGGAACTTCTATTATTTGAATATTAGGCTTTCCACATTGATCCTCCAATTGTCTTGCTTTCTTTCAATCTCTTTTACTTTTCCTCTACTTATCTTTATCAATTTTTCTAATGAATTTTTATGTATATAATTATAGTTTTAACTTCCAAAAACTCTTCACTATTTTCTGTTTGTTTGTTTTTAAAAAGAACCCTCCCCCCCTTTTTTTTTCATGTAGCCAGTATCTCCTTTTATATCTCTATGAGGATAGTTAAGATTTTTTTAAATCTTCCTCTTTCATATAAAAGGTTTTCTTTGGAAATAAAATGGGCTGTATGCTGCTATTTAATAGTAGGGTTATAAAAAGCTAATTGGTAACTCTGAACATGTGGATGGCCCTTTAAGAATGAAAGCCTCACAGTAGGTTATTCTGGTGGTTTTATTACATAGAGGGTATTAGCTTGGTTGCCAGATCCTGCGAACTTAAAACAGCCAATGCTAGAACTTTTGGGCATTCTGTGGAAAAACTCAGGTTGTATCTCAGGTTCCCCTACTGCTGGCTTAAACGTTCTAGGGCATCCTGAACTTCCCAGCTTCCTAACTTTTGTTCCTATAATTTTCTTTCTCTTTGTCCTTGTGAATTAATGCTTTAAAAAAATTCATCTGTCACATATAGGAATTAGGGAGAACAGCTACATGAGTATGTTTGGCCCTTTATTATTCACTGGAAGTTCCAATATTTTCCAAGACTGTCAGGAAATTTTACATTTTGGAAATGTAGCTAATATACTAATAATGAAATCAGTATTCACAAAATCTTAAATTTAGTGCTGCATGACCTCTTCAACTAGAATGTAATATCAACTCTTAAGTCTATGTCTGTGCTTTTGCTTTCTCCCACTGAATCTAGCTCGCATGATGCTCAGGCCATATTAGATGATGCAATATATGCTTGCTGAATATGTGAATACTTGGATAAGAATTATTTTATGATCAGATTTATGTGAAGGAAAGAAGTACACACTATAGCTATTTCCTTTTTTAAAACATTGGGCACGGCATTATATTTCTCAGATACTTTTTCTGTTTCTCTTTGAAAATCATCCTTAATTACATTATGCTTTCAATAGTAATTTTCTTGATTTTTATAAACTAAATATTGTTTAAACCTTTGAAATAATAAAGCTAAAAGTAAGGTATCCCCTGCCACTATAATAGAATGGTTAAGGACATGGGTTCTGGCCCTATCACTTATTTGTGTGACTCTGGGCAAGTTTTTAATCTAATAATAATAGTAAATATGTTAGAGTAGTTATGAGGATTTAATTTGACATCTGTGCAAAATACTTTACAGTTCCTGGTACATAATACTCAATACACTTTAGCTATGATGATAATTTTTCTGAACAGATTCTTTTTATTTGTTTGAGGCTTCTTATATATGTTTTGTTGTTGTTGTTAATCCTCATCTGAGGATATTTTTCCATTGATTTTTCTAGGCAGAGTGAAAGAGAGAGGGAAAGACAGAGAGAAACACTGATGTGAGAGATACACATCAACTGGTTGTCTCTTGCACAAGCCCTGACCAGGGCCTGGGCGGAAGAGGAGCCTGCAACCAAGGAATGTGCCCTTGACCGGAATCGAACCCAGGACCCTTTGGTCTGCAGGCCAAACCAGCTAGGGCTTATATACTTTTTAAGGGTATTTTAAAGTTTTCCCAATAAAGATTTTGCACATTTTTAAACTTATACCTACTTTTCAAAAGTTTTATTTTTTATGTCTACTTCTATATATTTCTCTATATATCTCTATCCATCTACCTCTTAAAAACTGAGTGCACACTGATACCTATTTCATTTCAACACTCTAGGATTAATTCTAGACGTCCTCCTCTCTGTACTTATAGCCCCCTTCTACAACATTTATGCAACTTAGCTCTCATTATCCTCAATATACTTATTTGTTCAACCCTCCTGTATACAACTAATATCCCTCCCACACTGGTCAAGTATTCCATCTTTTGGGTTGACTATCACCAACCACGTGGCTGTGGCTGTGTCAGAGAGAATATACTCTCTTTTTCATTGCTATTATAAAAGGAATTCTCTTCTTTTATAAATTCTAACTGGGTTTTGTTTACATTTACATATTTGAAATCTATGGGTTTCATGTTACTTTTATATCCTGCTATCTTACTAGTATACAATCTTCTCATTGTTTAAATTATTTTTAATTAATTCTTTATACATCCTGAAAATAGAATCTGCAAGCAAAATTAGTTTTCTCTCTCTTTACAATTTTAAAACTCAAATTTCCTTCTCTTTTCTAATTTCATTGATTAATAAAATGTTAAATAGCAGTGGTAGTATGCACATTCATTCTTTTATTATTCCTGACTCAGTGGGAATGCCTCCAGTCATTCTCTATTATGATGGTGGCTGTTGGGCTGAAATGTGTGTTTGTTTTATACTTTTTAAACTTATTTTGAAATAATTTTAGAAATATAGAAAATTCGCAAAGATAGTACAGAGAATTCTTATATACCCTTCGCCTAGCTTTCCCTAATGTTAACAACTAACCATGATGCAGTTATAAAAGCAAAGAGATTAACATTGGTCATGTGTGCGTTTTTAAAAGTCCTGTTAAGGAAGTATCCGTTGATTCTTCTCTTTTAGTCTCTTTTTTAAACTTGGGAATGAATGTTCAATTTTGTCAAATTTCTTCTCAGTACATATCCTTATTTTTTCTTTTCACCAATTAATATGATGAATTAAGTTAATAAATTTTCTAATATTGACCCATCATTGCATATTGGAATAACTCACATGATTAGAAAATTAAATTTAAAAAATAAACTGTTGGATTCTGTTTGCTAATAGTTTATTTAGAAACTTTAAATAAGATTGGTCTGTAGTTTATTTTTTTAAAGCAACTTTATCAGGCTTCAGTATAAAGGTTATTCTTAAAAATAATTTGAAAGTTTTCCTTCTAATTTAAGTAGCATCAAGATTTCCTAGTCTCTAACGTTTGGTATAAGTTAGTGGGACTTTGGGTTTAATGTCATATAAGGTGAGAAGGGGGAGGGATGGACAACCTCTTCTATTTCTTCTATAGAAATTGGTCTATAATAGATTTGCTATCTTCACCGGGGCCAGTTTTGGTTAAATTATAGTTTTCTAGAACACAATATATTTTTCTAGGTGTTCAAATTTATTTCTATACAGATATGCAAAGTTTTCTCTTAAAATTAAAAAAATTTCCTGTTATGTCATTATTCTCCCTTTATTAATTTTGTGTTTATGTGCTTTTATTTAAGTCAACTTGTGGTTTATCTGTTTTGTTGATTTTTAGGCAACAAACTAATAAACGCACCTCAACTTGTGAATTTTATGTATGAAAGTCATCACAAACAAGAAATTTTGTTGGAGGGAACAGGAAAACAATCTTTTTCAAAAAAGTTTTTACTTATTTGGTATGGGAGCAAGTAAACTATTAATAGTTTAAATTTAGGTGGTGGGTATGGAGAATTTATAGAAAATTTTTAGCATTTTACAACTCAGTTCTGTTTTGGACACATTGGTTTTATCAATAACAAATCTGAATAAATGCAATACTATGGAACTTTTAAAGTAAGTCCACCTGCTGGAAAAGCAAAGCATAGACCTCTATGAAGGAATAAGGTTAGTTACTAACAGCACTAGGACCACTACCAGATTGGTAGCGCTTAGAAAAAGCATTTGAGACTAAAGGAGGCTTTAGTGACTTTATTTTCTAAAAATATGTCCTACAAATATGATTTTTTCCCTACATCTTCACTTCTTTAAAAATAAATAGAAACAAAGACAAACGCTTATCTTGAAACAGGTTTAGCGTCAGCCGAGGTCAGCTCTCAGGGAGCTGAGGTCAGCCAGGAGCAGCTCCGCGCTGGGCCTCCGCACGGCACTGGCCCTCCAGCAGCCCTGGATCATCTGCCCCAGCCTCTTCCCAGGGATGGAGGCCGAGAAGACAGCTGCCGAGAGCGGCGGCCGCAGGTCGTAAGCCACCACCGCGTAGAGCACGTGCTGCCGCTCGCCCAGGTAAGGCACCTCCTGGGTCGTCATCTGCCAGAGAGTGATGGCGAAAGAATAGATGTCGGCTTGGGGCGTCAGGGTCTCGCCTTTGAGGAGCTCGGGGGCGCGGTGGGTGTAGGTGCCGCCCAGGTGGTGAGAAGGGGTCTGGAAGCACGGGAGATCCTCCAGCCTCTCAGAACAACCGAAGTCCCCGATTTTGCAGACGTCCCGCTCGCTGATCAGAATGTTGGCGGGCTTCAGGTCCAAGTGCACAATGCTTTGTGAGTGGAGGAAGAGCAGCCCGTTCACAATATCCAGGGCGTACCGCAGGCACTTGGACAAATTCAGCTCCCCTCCTGCACCTCCGTGAGGCTCCACTTCCTCCTCCTCCTCCTCTTCCTCGGGGGAGCTGGTAGCACCGTAGATGACTTGGTGTAAAGTGACATGGCCACCGAACTCCATGATGATGGCGCCTAAACTATCAAAGCCCACAGGCGTGCGCGTACTGGCAGCCACAACCCCCACGATGTTCTCATGGCGAAGCCTCGCTACGTTGAGCTCAGCCCAGAAGCTGCGCTGGGACGCCAGGCGGTTCTTGGTGCACCTGTTCACTTGCTTGATGGCCACGAGCACCCCGTGGTAGGTCGCCTTGTACACGGAGCCGAAGCCCCCAGCGCCCAGCCTCTGCAGGAAGCACACCTGCTCCCAGTCGATGGTGCACCAGGCCAGCCGGCGAGGCAGCCGTGGGGCCCTGGGAGGAGTGGTGCCCAGGAAGAGCTTCCCTGTCCTACCTGGGAGCTCCGAGGGGCTGCTGCAGGGCCTGGAGTCCACGGAGGGAGAAAACTCGCCCGGGAGGTAACTGCGCCGCGGGAGGGGCGAGGGCATGGCCTCTTCCAAGTGGATCCGGAGCGGCTCGGGTAAGTGAGAACCCCCATCAGTCTGGGAGCACGACTGACTGCCTACTCCCTCGCTCAGCCTCAGGGTTTTTCTCCTCTTCCTTCATTTTCCCATTGAGCCGCATCTGGGCGGTTACTCAGCAAGGGTGTCTGTCAGATGGGGAAAACAATCTGAACGAAGCACAACAATATCTTCCAGGTGAAAGCATTTCCCTTCAGCACTTACAGTGAATTCTTACAACAACTGGCTCTCAGATAAACAGCACCCCTCTTTTACACTATTTCTTAATTGTATTAAAATGGGCTCCTCCCACCCCCCCCCCCCCCAGTCTCATCCTCTGAACATTATCAGCAATCAGACGGAAAAGGCCACAGCAGTACGATTTCACACTTTGCAGGCTATAATGATGGTCAGTGTTACTCTCCAGCTGCATTAAGTCACTTCCAGCACTTATTGGCAGAAAGGATTGAAATATGAACAGCTGACATTTGTTTATCTGATTACAGGGATAACTAGGTGCAACCTATATATGTGGGTAAAAAAAAACAACGTAACCTTAAAGTAAGGGATCCAAATAGAATCACTGATACAGGCCAAAACATGCACCTCCTAGTTCATCACGGGAAAGAAAATTTCTCTGACACTCCATTCAGCTTACAGAGCAAATTAGCAAGACTCCTTAGCAACATATCGACTTCCTAGCAATCCTGTTCCCTGGCAGTTCAGCCCACCCAGTAAGCATGCTTGCAAGAGAGATTCTAGGCTCCACAGCAAATGAGTTGCAGAAGTCTTGAAACAGCTGTTGGGAGAGGAAAAAAGAACAAAAAATGATTCAGAGCCATGATCAGGGCTTCAAAAAATAACAAATATGAGAGAATCCTGGGAGAGGAAAATATCTGAAGAAATAAAATTGACACAGAATCGCTAGTGCCTGCATATAATGTGGGAAACCAGGATGTTGAAATTAAATTCAGGGTCTTGCTGTCCAGCCATAAACTTTCCTTTCTAATTGTTACAAAAACAAAACAAAACAAAAAACAACAACAAACTAATTTTTATTCCATATCTTTGGAAAAATGACCAACAACATTATCCTGTTCATTAAAAAAACAGGTTAATGTTAGAATCTACATTCAAAAAAAATTCAAATGGTAAATTTTATTTTAAATTTTTGTACTTAGAGCATATAGGTGATATGTAACCACATTTTTATGATAATAGGTCTATGCTTCTGAAATATATTGGTTTTAAAAAGATATGTTAATACACAAGCCCTTTTGAAGTCTGTTGAGCCCTAGGATGGGATTCCTATTCTATACCATCTGTCTGCCTTAGTATGTGATAGTGTGTGTGATATTTAACCTGTTTAAGCCTCACTCTTTTCATTTAAGAAATTAGGTTATGCCAGAACCGGTTTGGCTCAGTGGATAGAGCGTCGGCCTGCGGACTCAAGGGTCCCGGGTTCGATTCCGGTCAAGGGCATGTACCTTGGTTGCAGGCACATCCCCACTGGGGGGCGTGCAGGAGGCAGCTGATCGATGTTTCTCTCTCATCGATGTTTCTAACTCTCTATCCCTCTCCTTCCTCTCTGTAAAAAATCAATAAAATATATTTAAAAAAAAAGAAATTAGGTTAATCATTATTAAAGTAAACTTTTCTATTTGGAATAAAAGTTGGGGAGCCCTGTCCAGATTAATAATAGCACAAATCTAAAATATGCAAACTATTTTAGTAGAAATATTTTAGTAGAAATGGCAGTTAAATGAAGTTGTATCAAACCTGAAATATAACAGGATGACAGTAAATAGAGTAAAATAAGAAAGCAATAAAATTATATTCTGCCATAAGTACATATTACAAAATTTATTCAATAGTCATCACATAGTTAGGATTATAATTTAGGGCTCTGAACCTGTTCTGTGGTATTAGGAGTGTTGTGGATATTAGCTGAATAAGGGCAAAAGAGTACCTTAACCTCTTTGGTATTACACATAAGGCAAAATGGTGTGATTGTTGTCATATAAGTTATTTTTAAGATATTAGCATAAGTAACTCATTTTTCAAAGTTTGATTTTATTATTTACATAGAATATAAGGTATTAATGAAAATGTGGTACTCTGTACATTCACACACCCCCGCCCCCCAACATCATCTGTCTGGCTTATTTCACTTATCATAATAGTCTCCAGGTCCATCCATGCTGTAGCAAAAGGTAAGATTTCCTTCTTTATTATGGCTGAGTAGTATTCCATTGTGTAAATGTACCACAGCTTTTTTACCCATTCATCTACTGATGGGCACTTGGGCTGCTTCCAAGTCTTGGCTCTTGTAAATAATGATGCAACGAACATAGTGGTGCACGTATTCTTTCAAATTAGTGTTTTGGGTTTCTTTGGATATATTCCCAGAAGTGGAATTGCTGGGTCACTTAATTAAAAAGGAAAAAGAAAGAAACTAAGATAACAAACAAACAATAAGAATTATCATCTGCCAATCTGCACAGGAGGATTTAATTGAGTATAGCTTTTAAAACAGTCTCTGGGGCAAGATGGCCTGAGTTTCTTACTGTCCCTCAGTTTTCTCACCTGCTAAAATAACTGAAGAAAATATGCCTACATCAGGATTGTTGTCAGGATGAACAGAATTCCAAATACTGAGATCAGGGTTAAGTAATACCTAAATGCTAATTATTGATGAAACTCATTAAAAAAACAATGATTATGGGTTTAAACCAAGAAGAAACAGAGTTGTTAGAAAGTATTGGTTTAAAGTGTACTCTATCAGGGCTGAGGCAACGCCCTTTATTATAAGCTAAACCAATTTGAAGTTTGAGTATTTTCTTTGTGCACTTAATTTTTGAGGTTAAAAGATGTAAGAGCATGTTGCCGTATTGTTACATGCTAAAAATGCGGAGGGTTAACACTAATCTGATCAATTTTAATAACCTTGTCACCCCCAAAGAACGGCAAAAAATAAAAGTTTTTGATAACAGGGTAGGCAGTCTAGCCTCGAACTGCAAATGAAACAAAGGAGAGAAAGGGACTGTGTGCACCTACTGAGGAGCAAAGGGCTCTCTGGTGCTTAGAGTCAAGGCTTTACGTTTTCTTCCTGCTCTTTCATTGGCAGCATGACTACTGACAGTCACCTCAGTACCAGGCAAACAGCGGCATTGACCACAAGCTGTGACAACAGATATCAGGATCAATAGCTAATGGAATGTGATCCATGCTCACCATGAACTCACTCGGAGGTTCGGGAGCACTGATTGTGGGAGGGAGTCCCCGTGGCGCGGAGGCTGGCGGATTACGCAAAGGGCCTCAGCGCTACTCGCCACGCCCTGCGCCCGGGATCTAGGGCCGCGCTTGCGGCCAGAGCGCGGCCCGGGATTAGGGGGAGCTTTCCCTGCCCGAGTCCCCAAATTACTGGAGTTGAGTGGCTTCTGGTCAGGCAGCCGGACCGAGGACGTCGCCGCCTCCCCTGCACGACGCAGGGCTCCCCAGGCCTCTGGCCCCTTAGTCTGTGTGCATCTATCTCCTGGGGAACCGAGGCGCCATGGCGGGGCCGTGGGCCATCTGTTTCGGGGGCGCCTAAGCACGTGGAGGAGGCTGGTACCTAGGCGATGTGCTAAGGCCAATTGCGCCAAACTGCTGTTTCCTTGCCCTTATACGTACACAGGATTTTATCTTTCTTTCATTTCAATTCAGAATCATCACGTAAGCTTTTGGAAGACATTTTAAAATGCCTTTAAAGTCAGTGTCGTTACAACAATGCACAGAACCCCGCTTCCAAGGGCCACCTCGGCTGCTACCCCGCGGGAGCGCGTGCGCCACCCTGGGGCCGTTTCCCAGTGCTCTCGGGTTTCACCCCAATTTCAGAAAGTTAAAATGTGAGGGAATGCCCGAATTGGAGTCTTTGAAGTGTTTTATCACTATTTACAAGGTCAAAAATTCACATTTGCTTTTTTTAAAATAAAAAAGTTAAGATATAGCCCTAACCGGTTTGGCTCAGTGGATAGAGCATCGGCCTGAGGACTCAAGGGTCCCAGGTTGGATTCCGGTCAAGTGCATGTACCTTGGTTTCGGGCACATTCCCAGGAGGGAGTGTGCAGGAGGCAGCTGATCGATGTTTCTCTCTCATCCATGTTTCTAACTCTCTATCCCTCTCCATTCCTCTCTGTAAAAAATCAATAATATATATATATATTTAAAAAGAACATCCTCAAAAAAAAAATAAAAATAAAAAGCTGATATAAATGAGTACATGTATTTTACTAAGATACGAAGATCACAGAGTCCAACTTGAAAAACATTTTTTTTTACTTAAGTAGAGTTTTACTGCTGATACTAATCTGAAATTTGAATTTTATATTTAGCAATATATAATATACTCGCTTCCATGTCAGTACAGCTACTTTTGTTTTTGTAACATAATATGGTCAGAAGCAGATCTAAGTTTTGTGGGGCCTAAAATTTTACAAATAAGGAGACCCTCTTTAGGAAAACGATGGAAAAATTAGGTATAGAGGTTTTGCCCCTTCCTTGGCCTCAGCTCATCTTCCATGCTCACCATGAATCGATCTGGTTGGCGTGGTGATTTAATTGGTTTTCCTTTAGATGTTTCAGGATATCATAGTCCCAGGGTCCATAAAAGGGAAATTAAAATGTGGGGTTGTCTCCAGTGTATCTATTGCAGACGACCATTCACTGTAATAGTCCAGTACAATGGAGGAAAGCTGGAAATGCCTTCCTAACATGTAAACATGGTGGTTTTATTGGCTGTTACAGAAAAAATATAAGGTGTGTGTGTGTGTGTGTGTGTGTGTGTGAGAGAGAGAGAGAGAGAGTGTGTGTGTGAGAGAGAGAGAGAGAGAGAGAGAGAGAGAGAGAGAGAGGTGGGGGGAGAGAGACTAGATGAAAGATGAACTCAGCAGAGTTGGGTACTGGAGTCCAAATATGGTGACTCAGGACAGCAAAGGACCAGTGAGGAA